GGCTGCCTCTCCACGATGGGTCAATGAGCTGTTTCCACAAGAGTCCACCGGAAGTTGAGAAAACAGGAAAAGTGGGGTTTGCCCTTTCAAGGCCTCCACTTGGTTTTCGTTCAGAGAGAGGAGATGGGGCTGTTTCAGTCCTTCCTCCCAAGCAGGACTCAGCACTTTAGAAGCCAGTTAGCAAACACGCCAACCTGAGAGGCAGGGTTTCACGCTGGTCGGGTAAGTCACTGGTAAGGGGCTGACTGCACGCGCGTGTGCAGGGGCAGGGAGAGGGCTTGCTCCCGGGCCGCGCGTTCAGGTGGTGGAGAGGAGACACTTCCAAGGCCGTGTGTCCTGCTGACTATCAGAGCGAGGCCAGGGATGCCTTTCTGGCCACAAGGTTCCTCTAGAATGTTCAAAGCCGAACGTGGGTGTCAAGACTGGGATTATAGAATATTCCTGACCAAACCCAACTCGACCTCAGTACGGTGCCCTCTCTGCCCAGCAGACTGTAGCCATCCTGAACATGGTGGAAAAAAGTACCGTGAGGCCCAATAAGAAATGCCTGTTGAAACCCCACCGACCTAGAACAGACTGCTCCATTCTGGAGACCCGTCAGCAGGGACATCCCACCTCGCCCTCCCCCAGCTTCTGCAAGCCCCGCCGGCATCCCTATCCACACCGCCTGCCTTTTCCCAGCCCGTCGCAGGGGCAGGCGTGGTGGGCACGGTACTCTCCTGTCCTTTGTTGACACAGATGAGTAGGTGTGTCTACGGGTCCCTTCGAGCCTGACCCTGTACCCTCCGGGTTCCTGTCTCACCGCTGCGGTCACGTGTGCCTGCGTCAGGCCCGACGGCACAGGAACGGACAGTGAGGGGACATGGCCGGCCGTCCACCCTCTGCCTTCCGGCTGCCGGCAAGTCACAAACACCACAGCTCAGAAGAGTGTGTGTGGACACGGGTTTGCTCCCCCAATATACACATCCAGAGCACGCCAGCTTCCTAAAGCCGCCGCGGCTTTCTGTGGGCCCGCCACCCCACTCCTACCCATCACCAGTCATCCACGGTGCAAAAACAAGAGCGTAAGCCACACTGAAGTAACATCCCAGGGGCCTTCAAACAAGGCAGCCTCTGCAGCCAGTCCAGCAGGCAGGCACTGCCACACCACTGCCCTGACCCTCTCGAATCCTCTCAAAGCCAAACTACTCGGCCCAAATTCAGGAAAGGGATCCTTGTTCTTGTTTCATTGCCAAAGGATATAATCTGAAGTCTGGAGAAGGAGATTTCCAAGATATACAAGGAGATAGCAAGGTTCGAAACACACACACACACACACACGTTGGGGCCCCCATCTGTTAGAGGCCACCCCATCAAGTACTCAACTTCCACCTGGCTGTGGCAGCTGGGGTGCCCTATGTGCCTGCAAACATAGGTGTTAAAAGCTGCCTGGACCACAGGGTTCAGTTCACATGGCTGCCATGGGCAGTTACTTCAGAAACCTGGTGGCTGACTACTCCCAGGAGAGAGGCATGTCCGTCACCACCCAGGTACCCCAGGGCCCACCCACGTGTGGCTTGCTTGTTTCCGGGTCAAATGTAACCAACTAAAGAAGGAGCCTAGTTAGAAGGTTGCCCTGAACAATTTCAGAGCATTACCAGCCAACCCCCAACTTGAACCCTGGTATACAAGTGCATATGGGGGGAAAAAAAAAAAAAAGCTAACTGGGAGTCTCTGGGGCTTAAGGGACTTCATTTGTGCTTTCCATGGCAGGTGTGTAATGACCAGTAAGAGTCCTAATAAAGAGTTCATGTAAAAAAAAAAAAAGAAGAGTATGAGACGGAAAGAGCAGTGACGGAAAAGTATCTACGAGATCAGTGAAAAAGGCCAAATCCAGAACAGTGATTTGAGTATGCTAACTTTAGTGCACATGCTTGCTTTTACACGCATTTCTGGAAGTACAAAGACCTGAGAATTCTATCACTTGGGGAGGGCCATCGAGTGGCTCCAGAAAGGAGAGTCCCGTTTACCAAATGGCTTCTGAACCTTTCGAATTCAGCACGTTCCGTGGTACTTACCACGAAGTAAGGGTTACGCCCTTGCACACCCTCTGCCAGTGCTGAGATCGATGTGCACCGTTGAGCCCTTAACCAGCCTGTGGAGCAGAACATCAACCCATCTGAGCTGGGGTGGCTGCTACAGATGTGGCCTCAGGGTCACGGGCACTTGTGACCGGGGCTCTTGGATCCGCCTCCCTCCCTCTGCTTTTAACCACAGTGGGCCCGAGACCCTCCGCTCTCCTCCTCTGAATCTGTGCTCGCATCAGAGGGATCCCCT